CGTGTTTTGCGTCTCGCGGTCCTCTTTCCGTGTTTTGCGTCTCGCGGTCCTCTTTCCGTGTTTTGCGTCTCGCGGTCCTCTTTCCGTGTTTTGCGTTTCGCGGTCCTCTTTCCGTGTTTTGCGTCTCGCGGTCCTCTTTCCGTGTTTTGCGTCTCGCGGTCCTCTTTACGTGTTTTGCGTCTCGCGGTCCTCTTTACGTGTCGCGGTCCTCATTCCGTGTTTTGCGTGTCGCGGTCCTCATTCCGTGTTTTGCGTGTCGTGGTCCTCATGTGGTTCCCATTTCACATCCTTTCTTTGTAGTGATCAGTCCGGAATCCTGTGCAGAGGAAATGGCAGTTGTGTCACATTAACCCCTCCCCCGCCTGACTGCCCTCCCCTCCCCCCGGCTCTGCACTCGCCGCCTGCTCCGGCTCTCACCGCGAGGGGTTAACTCAGCGCCGGTGGAAACCGGATCCGTCTCTAGTGGATACAACACATGTCGGCACAGGAATCCGCGGTGACATCACGCCTGAACCCCGGCCAGACTCTGCGAACACTCACACACAGGCAACCAACATGATAGAGACCGCGCGTACATGGGGGTGGAGCCAAGCCACCGACACTACCAACGTCCAATGGCTGAGCCCCTCAGATCTCTGAATATAACCAATTAAGGATAAAGGGTTATGCAAATGAGCTGATCTCCTAAACCACGCCCAGAAAAGTCTGTGTCCGCCCCTCAACAATGATAGGGGGTGTGGTCATACATGGCCCCTCCTCTTCTTAATTCCAGGTGTTGTGAGATCCCAAAATCGCTTCACACACAAAGTGTATCCAAATCCAGAACAGAAATGTAACATGTTGCAGCCCCCGGGGGCCAAATATATACAGTGTAACCCTTATCTATTATTATACCCCCCATACCTTCCAGTCCTCAGATGTGCCCCCTCCCCCCATACCTTCCAGTCCTCAGATGTGCCCCCCCAACCTTCCAGTCCTCAGATGTGCCCCCTCCCCCCATACCTTCCAGTCCTCAGATGTGCCCCCCCAACCTTCCAGTCCTCAGATGTGCCCCCTCCCCCCATACCTTC